GTGTCATAGCGCCCAGTTTCAGAAAAGCTGGAAACCTCCTGACCGCATGGTCCCTGCCCCACGTGCGTGCCACCTCAACACTTACCTGGGGCCTTCAGTTCAGCATCGATGAAGGTGAGCAGTTCCTGGCAGATGCTACAGTAAGGAACGGGCCAGGTCAGGAATCGGTGGTAGGTTTTGGCGGCTTTCAGAAGGAGATCTGAGTCTGGTGGGAAGTGTGGAGTCTGGGATGGAGAGGGAGCGGCAAGCAGAGAGGTCCAGGTCAGAGAAAGCTCACTGATATTCCAGAGCAGACCCTGCTCCTTTCTGGAATGTTCCACAAAGGGCACACTTTTCCTGGCAGCAGTGTGTCCCAGGACGAGGGCAGGCAGAATTGAAAGTTACCCACAGGAAGTGAGTTACAGATGGGCGAGACGGTGCCCAAGGATGTCTCTACTACAGGGGCCTTGTTTTCACCAAACATAACAATTTACCAAATCCACAAGAGGGCCTCTCCGAAAAGCTGTCACCTTGGAGGTCATCCTAAATGGTGCCACTGCTGCCACTCCTTTCGAGGAATGGTCTTCAATGCCTAAACCGCCTTTATTTAAATATCCTCACGAGAGGCCAATGTTTATTCTTTGAAGTGGACTGACTCAATGTACTTGGAGTCATTTGATGCCACCGGTCTGGTGAACAGGGGGTGACGGCACTGGGGGAAACTGACCACTGCTGTACAAGAGGAGGTGGACATCTCATGTCTTTAACAGAATCTCTCCTGTGGTTTGTGAAAGGGCTGTGACAGTATCCCCTCCACGGGTGCCCAGATACTCCAGGCATGATGGCGTCCACGTGGAGTTACTGGAGGCCTCTCAAATGGCTAATCGGAAGCCATCAGAGGAGTGCCACCCACCTGAAGTGTCACTGGTGGACAGTTTCTCTCTCTGTGTGTTTATCCTCGGAGCTGTGAGGGCTCTGCCCCCTCCATGGAGGCTGTTCTCCCGCTCCTCCCCAACCTCCCCCAGCCTGGCCCAGCCAGGAACTTACACAGAGGACAGTGGAGTAGAACAGCAGAGCCAGGGGGGCGAGGAGGTCATAGGTGCCCTTCTCTTGGACCTGTGTGGGGGACAGGAGGGGGGCGGGCTCATCACAGGTGCACAACCAAGCACTGCTCTCTTCTCTATTCCTTTCTTTTCTTTTTCTTTTCTTTTTTTAAGTGAAAAGTAATGTAATCACAAGACAAACATTTAGAAAATAGAAGTAAAAAAAAAAAACCCACAATATCCCCCTTCCAAACTCAGCCACAACTAATATTTCAGTGCACTTCTCCTTACACCATTTTTCTCTGTGTATTTTCCTCTGCAAAGCTGTGATCATTGGGTGCATATTTTTACGCTTCATGTCTTTTACGTACAATATTATAAATGGATTTCTGTTTTGCTACATCATCTCTAAGACCATATTTCCCCCCTCCTAGTTATACATTTATCTATTATTTGTATTGTAAATATGTTTTCCAGTTTGTTGTTGGTCTTTGAATTTTATGGATTTTTTTTTTTTTATGTACATAAATTACAAGTGTTAGCTTTTTCCTTTATGGAGTTTCACTTTTGCATGCAAGGTTCACGTAAATATTCATATATGTTTTTTGTTCTTTTCTTGGAAGCTTCATTTTCTTAAATTTAAACCTTTAATCCACCTAGAGTTCTGTATAATATGAATTTGGAATTTCACTCCATATTTTTGGAAACGTTTAATCAACTTTCCCTAAACCATTTAATAAATTTTAACGATGCAATTTTTTTTTTGGCGGCTCTGCAGGCTTGCGGGATCTTAGTTCCCCAACCAGGGACAGAACCCGGGCCCCAGCAGTGAAAGTGCTGAGTCCTAACCACTGGACCACCAGGGAATTCCCCGCAATTCTTTTAATATATTAAATTTTGTTTCTCCCCTTGGATACTATCCATCATTTTTATTACCTATATAATACTCCTTCTGGTAGAGCTCCATAATTTATTAGCTTTAGACACTCGAGATTATTTTCTTGCATTTTAAGTACCTGTGCAGTGAAAATCTTTGTGTACACTCCTTTTTCTATAATTTGGATTATTTACCTTGGATAGAGCTCAAGAAGTGGAATGAGTGGATACAAGACTGTAAGCATATTTATGATCTTCGAAATGTATCGCCAAATTGCTTTCCAAAAGAATTTTGCCATTTATAACACTGTGTATGTATGAAAGTGCCATTTCACTACACCCTTCCCTGCATTGGTTATTATAATGTTTTTGCGAATTTGCTAGGCAAAAGCTGTGTTATTATGGTTTTCATTTACATTTATTTTACTGTAACTGAAGCAACATTTTCCATATTGTTTAAAAGTTCTATTTATTCTTTTGTGAATCATCTCTTTGATAAAGCTCACCCACCAACACCACAAACAAGCATGTATAGACACAATTTAGAATTCTTTGGTCAAAATACTAGTGGTCTCCCAACCCATTCTGGAATTCATGGGTGTTGAAGAGCAGAGAAAGCCCCACCACCTCTGCTGTGCCTGGTGACGGCAGCAGGATCAAATAGAATTCTCCTTCATGGTCCTGAATAGACCATGTGTCCAGTACACTTGCTGCTTGGCCCCTTCTATAAAACCCTCCCCTGTTGCTATACAGTAGTTGTTCCTTTATATTTGGGTTTATAAGGTAAGCACTTCAGAGGCGGTTTAGCTCTTCTCAGTTGGTCTCCTTGTGATCAGGGTATAAAAGCACCAGGTAAATGGTGGCGCCAGAATTGAAACCTTGGGTGTCTCGATAAACCAAGACTTTTTTCTTAGAGGTAAAGGGACAGCTGAGAAAGACATGTGTTTTCCAACTCAGTCATGTATTTAAAAATAAAGATAAAACATCTTTAGGGACTCGTGCCTGTTCTGGAACCCCAGCCCAAATCAGGTTTGTTTTCTTGTTTGTTTGTTTTTTTAATTTTTTTTGGCCACGCAGCATCTGGGATCTTAGTTCCCCGTCCAGGGAGCAAACCCATGCCCCCGGCAGCGGAAGTGCAGAGTCCTGACCACTGGGCCGCCAGGGAAGTCCCCCAGATCAGCTTTAAACACAGTCTTCTTCTGAGTCATAAAAGCCTGTTTACTGAACTGTTAGAGGAGGTCTCGGTTTACCTCTCCAATCAGTTTTCTCTTTTGCGTCTTTGTTCTTCTGCGTCTTTTGGGGGAAAGGAATTCGGTGGCGCGTCCTCCCTCCCTTGTAGTCCACACCTTGACTTACGAGCAATGTCTGTCTTAAGAAGCAGCTGAAACTGGGGACCCTGGCTCACCCAGCACATGTTCATAGCAAGAGGACCACGCCCCTTCCTGAGGCCTTCAATCCACAAACACCACCGAAGCAGAGAACTCAGGCTGCCAGTTCCTCCACCAAGCCCCCCTGGTGGTCCAGGCACCCCAGAACTGACATTCTGTGGGGACCTATTTCTCGACTCTATGAGGCTGATCCCAGCGCTGCCCTTCAAACCCAGGCCGAGCCCTCACCTCGCGGGTTTTCTGCAGGATCTGCTCCAGGAGGATAAGGAAGTGGCCTGGATCCCTGCTGACTAGCTCCTGCAGGCTCCAGCAGTTGAGACACAGCCCAGCTGCAAAGGGAAGGAGAGGCCAGGGGTCAGTTGTGGGTTGGAGGGAAGTGGCAATTCCTGGGGCTGCACTGGGGCATTCCCTTCTGAAGTAAGAGACTCAGGAAATTCTGGATCAACACACTCGACCCTATTATGCCCCATCAAGATAATGATAAGTTTCTTCTTCCTGCATAGACAGGAGGCTCAAGAGACACAGAGAGGGGCTGGGATCTCCCTTAGAAGCCAAGGACTGGCCACGACTCTGCTCCCTGTGCCTCTGGAGAGCACCAATTTTCCCACATCCTCCGAGATGCAGGGAAGGGGCACAGAAGCAGAGATTGCCACTCCAGGACACAAGGCTGAGTCTGCAACAGCCATGGGACCTCCCGGAACTGCTGGGCAGTGGAGCCTGGGAAAGGGAAGCGCCATTCATTTCTATTTTGAAAGCTATGAGGAGTACTTTGTCACTCTGTAACTTTCCCAGACTTTATTTTGTCAATCTCTGCTTCCCTGCAGTCAGCATGGGTAAACTCTCCCCAAATTACAGGGGCAGTCACAGAGGTCTGTGCGCGCGCTCTCTCTCTCTCTCTCTCTCTCTCTCTCTCTCTCTGTGTGTGTGTGTGTGTGTGTGTGTGTGTGTGTGTGTGTGAGAGAGATGGGGAATGAGAACAGTGGGGGTGGAAGTGGCCCCCTCATGTGCACGAGCTCCTTCTGAAGTGCTGCAGGCCCCAAGCAATGTGTTCATATGGCCACAGGTTTTAGTAAAATTTGCTATACTCAGATATTTTTGTATTCTTTGACTTGATGGCCCCTCAATTCTAGAAGCTTAGTCTCATTAAAACCTGGGTAGGAGGCAAGAAGGAAGAAAACTGCCATTTAGTGACCACCTACTATGTACCTCTAAGGTGCCAGGCCTTTCACACATCACCTCCATTGAATCTCCCATCCCCGCCTCGGGAAGGTGATTCCTGCTATTATTATTCTCATTTTACAGGCAAGGCAGGTGAGTCCTGAGAGGCTAAGGGACTTGCACAAGTTCCTACAGCCAGTGAGAGACAGTTTTAAGTCAGATCCGCTTAATTCCAGAGGCCAAGGAAAGCCTCTGAGAGGAGGTGACATTTGAGTTGAGACCTGAATGAGAAGGAGCCAGCTCTGCATCGTTCTGAGGGAAGAATTCCAGGCAGCAAGTGCAAAGGTCCTGAGGTAGGAAGGAACCAGTTATGTTCAAGGAGCATGGGTATCTATCTCGTGGGGTAGTTAGGGAGGCAAGTGAGATGCGGAAAATCTTTATGAGAATAAGGAGTTATTAAATTAATCTCTAGGCTTGGAGACAACTGCCCCAGCCTGCAGATACCCCTGTTTCTCAGCCCTGGGGATCATGGAACATGGAGGCCTCCTATTCCCTGAAGTTCTGCTGAGATTCTCCTTTGTTCTATGGGGAAGAGGAGGATGGGGCTGTGGAGAAAACTAGAAACAAGGAAAACAGGAGAATTCTGGGGAGAACTGTCTATAAATATCCAACTGCTCTTTTGAAATCAGCAGTGTGGCATTTTTAAGCTGGTCCAGTATCTTCTTCAGGGAGCTAAGCTTCTAGCACACGGGGAGGATGAGGAAGGCTGCATGCAGGAAAGGAGAAACTGCCACCCACCAAGGGCCACTCTCCATCAGCTGCTGTGCTGAGCACCTGCCCAAGTGAGGTCCGCGGAGTCACACACACAGGGTTGGAACCAGAACCTGCCAGTTCCGTGCCTGAACCAGTGCTCACCATAGCCCCTGCAGCTCCCCTGGGCCCCAGATGCACCTCCCGGGCTCCCTGGGACCTACCTGACCAGGAGGTGGAGCGGCGGCTGAGGCTGAGCCCGTGCAAGCAGCGCTCCAGGGCGTGCTGGATGCGGTCCTCCGTGCACGTCGTGGCCCCTGGCTGCATCCTGAGTCATCGCCTGCATGGGGGACAGACGCTGGTCAGCCTGGAGAACCCCGGACTCGAGAAGCACATGGCCTAGCAGGGCAGCTGGCAGAGACAGCGGGCACTCACAGCTGGTGCCATCAGCCAGCTGCCTCTGGGGCTGGACCGGCTCCTGGGCTCCTGGCAGTGCGGCTCAGAACGGCAGGACGGGGCACGCCTGTGGCCCACCAGCGCAGGCTACGGGAAGTGAGGGGTGGCGGGGGGAATGGAGAGGTGTGGCCCTCCCCCCCTCCCCGCCCCCACCCCCGGCAGGGGTGAGTGGCTGCAACAGCCCAGGGAGTGCCCGTGGCGTGACCAGATCCCCGTGCTGGGCAGGAGGACCTCAAAGGAAAAATCAGGATCACGTGGGGGACTTTCTCTGAATTTCCAGGCCTGCGTGCCCCACCCCTCAGGAATGGCCAGGGAGCCTGTTGCTGCTGACAAGGTCACAGAGCTCCCCGCCAGTGTGCCGGGGGCTCTGATGCTCCGGGCCCGGCAGGGGCTGCCTTCACACATGCCACACCTCCACCCCGCCACACCCTCTGCTTGGGTGCCCAGGCCACAGGCCCCTGGTCCTTTTCTGCCCTCACCTCCACTCTGGCCATTTTTCTTTGCTGTCTCTGAGGCTTTGCAATGTTACCAGTTATTCAAAGACCTTGCTTGGCTTGGTCTTTCAAAGAACCCCCTTCTGGGAATTCCTCTGGGAACTCCCTGGCAGTCCAGTGGTTAGAGGACGCCACGCTCTCACTGCCGAGGGCCCGGGTTCAATCCCTGACTGGGGAACTGAAATCCCACAAGCCACGCGGCACAGCCAAAAAAAAAAAAAAAAAAAAAAAAAAAAAAAAAAGAGAGAGCCGGGGTGTTTAGCTCGGGCTGGAGGGCTGCTGAGGAGGAGATCTAAGAAGGGGTTTTAGCACCAGGTGGGGCACCATGCCAAGGGCCACATTCTGAAAGCCTCCAGCAGGGCCAGCCCAGCTTCACAGTGATGTGTCGGGGCTCCTGGGTCCCTCAGGAAGCTGTGACAGGTAGTGCAGTGCAGCAAATAAGCCTGGCCTCTGGCATCAACAGACTTGGATTCAGATCTCAACTCTGGTGTTTGCTAGCCATGCAAATGGGCAATTTCTTTAAACTTTTCTGAACCTCAGTTTACTGATCTGTAAAATGGGTGTGACGATGGTACTAACCCCCCAGGGCTGTTGGGAAGATTAAATGCCACAGTGGATGCGCTGAGCGAGCTTTCAAGACACGAAAGCTGGGACTTCCCTGGTGGCACAGTAGTTAAGAATCCGCCTGCCAATGCAGGGGACACGGATTCGAACCCTGGTCCAGGAAGATCCCACATGCCGCGCAGCAGCTAAGCCCATGCGCCACAACTACTGAGACTGCACTATAGAGCCTGTGAGCCACAACTACTGAAGCCCGTGCGCTTAGAGCCCGTGCTCCGCAACAAGAGAAGCCTCCGCAATCAGAAGCCCACGCACCACAATGAAAAGTAGCCCCCGCTCACCGCAACTAGAGAAAGCCCGCGCGCAGCAATGAGGACCCAACGCAGCCAAAAATAAATTAATTAAATAAATTTAAAAAAAGAAAAGAAGACACGAAAGCTCTCCTGTTACAGTCTTTCCCACAAGCCCACTTTCCCTTGGGAATTTCACTGCGTTCACCCCGTCCAGGCAGACTCCCATGGCTGGCCGGTCAGGCCAGGTCGTAGAAGCAAGTCGAGGAAGCAGTGGTCCAGCTCTGTGGAACAGGGGATGGACCAGGAAACCACAAGCAGAAGCACAGAGCTCAGAGCTGAGCCATGCAAACGACATGCAAAGAGCTAGGAAATCCTACACCGGACCCAGTAGGCAAAACCTCCTACTTCCCCAGCCAGGGAGGAACCAGGCACCCAGAGAAACAGAAGCCCTTTGTGAGCTGCCCAGCATCACTTCACTTCGGTGATATCCCTGGGATGGCACAGGGGTGGGCACACGGAAAGCAGCACGCATGCGTTCATTCTTCCATGGATTTACTAACCCCTTACTATGTGCCAGGCACTAATGACACAGCAGTGAATGACGCAGGCGTGCCCCGTGGTAGGAGACAGAGACAGGGAACGATCTAACAGACGAAGAAAGAGGTCATGGCAGAGGGGAATAAACGCTGAGAAGAAAGTGATGGTGCTGGGAGGGGGCCAAGTGGGGGGCCCCCTCCAGGTCGTTGGGAAGTCAGGAGAGCCTCTCAGAAGGGACATTTTAGCTGGATGAGGAGGCCAGGAGAGAAGTGAGGAGGAAGAATGCTCCAGAAAGAGGAGGTAGCAGGTGCAAAGGTCTGGGTGCAGGAATGGACCTGCCACGGGCTGAGACCTGGAGCACAGGGCCCAGGACAGACCAGCCCTCCAGGCCACCCACCCTCCAGCGGATGAGGTGGCGGATTGAGATCAGAAACACTTTCACTGGTGAGTCAGGACCACGGACCTTGGGAATTTCCATTAGTGGTACCTGGATGTCCAAAGACGTCCTTGGGCCCTTCTAGGGCAACTTTCACGGTCACCTTAGGGCCTTTTGTGTGCCAACTCTTTGTGTGCAGTCCAGACAGGGGGTCTGTAGACCCTGAGCCACACCAGGCAGACATCAGGCCCCTCCTCCCTGGGTGTGCCGGCGCCCAGCATGGATGCGTGTCCCTGGGCATGAACACTCAGGATGCGGCCTTGCCCTTCTGCCTGCAGTGGCCACCCAAGTGCAAGACCCTCTTGAGCTCGGTCCTGTGCAGGCTCAGGGCTGACGGCACCCACTGGAGGAGCTACAAGACCAGGTACCTTCAAAAGGATGAGTTTGGAGCGTGAGTGGCTGGCCCCAGGCGTCATCAGCAGGCCTTGGTCCCCACAGGTTGATTCATCCCCGATCAGCCCCCGGGGCAGTGCTCAGAGGAGGAGGTGAGACCCAGAGAGCCTAAGGGGTAGCCCCGGGTCCGGGCGGGGCTGGGAGAATCAACGCCAGAAAAAATTGACTAGGATATAAAGCAGGACTTCCGAAATCCCAAATGGCAGGTGAGGCACAACTCTTAAGCACAGAAGGTGCTCAATGACCCACCTGCTAAAGTGCTAAGAGTCACCGTGAGCTGTCAGGGCCGGGGGCCGGCAACCACACTGGGGGGCTTGCCGGGAGGTACGGGTCCAGAACTGGTACAGCTGCCCCCTCCGCAACCCCCATCAATACAAGAGGACCGGGAAGAGAGGAGGGCTTGTCGACCATTCCAGAGAGTCCTCCCTTCTATCCCGAAGGCCAAGGGCAGAGGGGCTTAAAAAGAATCCCTTACTCAGACGGGACACCTGCCAGGAGGGGATGCTGCCATTTTGTTCTCAGCTCACTCTCTATCCAGCCAGCAAACGTACTTCTGGGCTACTTGGGAGCCATGGGAGGGCTAAGAGGAGCGGAAGGGGCGGCTGGCAGGCTCCCTGCTGGGTAAGGCAAAGATGTGAGCTCCTTGCGGAAGGGTGGAGGTGGCGGTAGATACTTGGATGAAAAGCTAGACTTGAGCTGTTTTGTTGATTCTTCACCGGGAGGGCCCCCAGCCGGGTGAGGGAAACGTAGCAGTAAGAGGCTGAAAGGTTGGACCACGTTTGGGGGAAGCTGGAGGGCTCGTGGGCACTCTGTGGCACAGAGAGGTTAAACAACTTGCCTAAGGTCACACAGCTAGGAGGCAGCAACACAGGGAGTCTGGCTCTGCCTGCCGCTCGACACAGTCAGATGCAGTTACTGGGAGAAATAAAACTAATTCATGTTTCTACCCCAGCGAGTGCAGGCTCAATTAACTAACATTAATTAGGAGCCCTGCATTCCCAGTTGCTGGGAATCTTGAGCCCACCATGTCTGTCTATGCCAGCTGTCCACTGCAGCCCTGCCTCCTCCAGAAAGAGGACCAGGGCCCACAGAAGCAACAGTCTAGGCTGGATCAGGCGATGACCATGGTGGCTTGAGGGGCCCAGTCATTCTCTAGCTCAGAGCGAGGGCTGAACCCTGTGAACTAGGTTTAAAGATCCCTCTGCCCAGTCTCTGCTGCGACAGACAAGTTGGCTGTGTCACAAAGCAGGAAT